TGCACTCTTGATTTCATCTTTTTCTCCTCATAATGATCAAAGATCCGTTATTCCTGAATTTATATCTTCTAATACCAGTGCTGAAGGCCTACAATGATGTCATTTCACCTTTATGAGAAATTTCAGTCTCTACTATGATCCAAAATCCTTACACTAAGAGGCAGAAAATCATGAGTCATAGACCAGATCTTGACCACTGTCTGTGTCTTCGGAATTTGTTTGAATAGTGGTCAAATACTTGTTATATATAATTTGCTCTGGCAGCTGTGCTGTACACACAGCACATGAATGCTCAAGACAGTCATGTGTTAGGAAATCCAACCGTATAAAGCTTACAAATGCTTAAAAAAGAAAACTTAAAAACAGTTGTATTGGAGTTTCAGAGAATGAATAACAGAACAGGAAGTGGAGATTTGGAGAGGTGCTAGAATGGGAGAGTTACATATGAGAAAGAGAGAAAATGCTGCTGCTACAAGAGACACTGGTAATTAAACCACTGATATACTCATCCAGATGTGTCTGCTTACCCCTGCCTTCCACAAGCTTACTGGTGCCTGTCTCTCTTTCTATCAATCGACCACTATCCCCACTGCATCTGCTCTAGCAATATACTAAACTAAAGTCTTTTCACATTATTTGCAACACACCAATATCACTCTACCTTAGGGCTTTGGTCTAGCAGATTTTTTTTCATTTAGAATACCCTCTCTCAGATCTTTAAATAATTGACTCCATTCCATCATGTGGTCTCTGTTTAAATGTCATGCCCTCAGAGAAGAAGCTTGCCACCAACTAAATATCTCAAAGAGGTAACTTCTTAATTGTATTGCTTGCCACTCATCCTGAGTAAAAGGGCAGTGCTAAAATTGTTTGACATGTTTATATATTGTACACATACATATATTACTATTGGGTGAAGAGGGAAATTCACTGCTGCTAGTGCATTTTGTACTAATTTACTGAACTAGTAAAACTGCTACCATTCCCCTCCATATCAAACATAAAGGATCTGTAATGGAAAAACATCAAGAAAAAGATAAAAGTCTGTTAAAAATCCGTGGATAACATACAGAGCTATTTTGAACTACTGTGTGTGGGAGGGGTAGTGTCTTTGGCCTGAGGGAGAAGACAGGCATTAATGTGGGAGGATTGGAAAAGAAAAATATCAGAGGACAAGTAGAACTACCCATTTATAGCTGATGGCTCCAAGCTTGTACCAAGGTACAATATATAAGCTGTGTTCCCAGTAGTTTATCTCTATAAGCAATTGATATTCCTGGGGAAGATAAAGTAATACAAAATCTGAGAAACAACTTGTTCAAAGAAAAAGGCAGTATAGTAGATTATAGATTAATGATACTAATAATTTAAAACTGACCTAGTATTTATATACATATATACATACTATAAGAAATAAAGCAATTTGTTATTAATGAGTGAGAAGGTCTGGAGAGATGGCTCAGCAGTAAAGAGTGAATGCTTCTTGTTCAGGGACCAGAATTCTCTTCCTAGCACCCACATCAAGGAGATCAAAACAATATAATTCCAGCTCCAGAAGAAGTGGCACACTCTTCTGGACTCCACAGACATGCAAATATGCACAGCATACACGTGATCAGACACATATGCAGACACATAAAATGAAACAAAAGTAAAAAGGGGCAGGAGAGATGCCTCTGAGGTTGAAAGCACTGGCTGCTTTGTCGGTGGACCCAGGTTCACTGGCCAGCATCCACATACCAGCTCACAACTGTCTGCAACTATAATCCAAGAAGATTTGATACCCTTTTCTAGTCTTCATGAGCACTATATGCAAATCACCAATACATGGAAAATTAAAACTTAAAGGTAAAACAAGTAGAAATGACAATGTGGAAATAACGAAATACACACACACACACACACACACACACACACACACACACACCTAGGTGCTATATTATGGCTTAGAAGTACATACATAAGCAACACACACACTTGTAGACTTTCCTCAGGGTAGGTTACTAGTGGTGCTGGGTGCACTACCCTCCTTCAATATAGAATAAAACAAATAATGAAAAGATTATATTCAACTACAACATTTGAGAGGAAACATTTGAGTGCAGTATCAGTAAAACAGAGATGCTACAGGACAAAGAGGCTCGAGATGGCTTTGTGAAAACAGAAAGGTTGTATCTCAAATTCACATTGTCGCAGTCGGGATGAGATCTTCTCATAATGAGGAAAAGATGAACAATGAATGAGAGGTCTTGATAGCTCCCATTACTATCTTGAAAGGGTGGATCTTTTGTTGTTGAAGAGTGTTGTAGACTCTTAACTCAGTATTCCACAACCAGGAAGTCAGCATCACTGAAAGACCCAAAACTAGGAGCTGAATTCATAATGTATGTAATTAACTTTTCATGGTGTTCTGTGAGACTACATCAAGCCAAAGACTATAGAAGCTGGTGACCATCCTGGGGGTGGTATACAAAGCACTCACTTGAGCCTGCCAGAGAATGTAGCCCATATGAAACCCTCAGCTATTTATGGAAACCCACTTTTGTTGTGTGTCAGTTTTGACCACCCTGGCCTGGTAACGTGTCCTTTTACTCACATGATTCATAGACACTGATGTATAGCCTACAATTGTAGTAATTTCTTTTATATCCAGAGTCTCTAGCCAGCTTGATCCATCTCTAAAACTGTTACATCCCATCTAGGAGAACAACACATGAACCTCTACAACATAGGAAGCAGAGACACCCACAGGCAATGTGGACAGATGATTGGGTAAGCTACATGGATAATTTCCCTCTTATTCTGCCTGGAATCACAAACAATCCACTCCATCCTACATAAGCAGGATCTAGCATAGATATGCAGAGACACACCACAAAGTTGTCAGAAGTAACTCATCTGAATCCTGTATAGGCATTAATGTATGAAAATTATTAGGATGAAAATGAAAACAGTATTTTATGACTCCAACCCAATTCAAAGAGAAGAAAATTAATCAATTGCCTAAAAAACAAATAGTCCATATGGATAAAAGAAACCATAAAGAAAAAAGTTAACAATAGATAAAAACTGAAATACAATTTAGGGCTAGCAAGATGGCTCTACAGTGTCAGGCAAAGACGCCTGATGCCAAGCATGGAGCTTGAGTTTGATCCCTAGGATACTTATAGGGATAATGGGAAATGACCTCTGTAAATGGAGGTTTCTCTGTCCCACCCCATCCCAGAGCTGTTTCTAAATAATCTTGGCCTATTAGCTCAGGCTTATTACTAACTAACTCTTACACTTTAATTAACCCACAATTCTTATCTATGTTTAGCCATATGGCTTAGTACCTTTTCTCTGTATGACTTCTCATTTTGCTTCCTCTGCATCTGCCAGAAACTCTGACTCCACCCTTCCTCTTCCCAGAACTCTTTGTTTCATTGCCCTGCCTATACTTTCTGCCTGGATACTGGCCAACAAGCTTTTTATTAAACCAATCTGAGTGACAAATCTTTACAGTGTACAAGAGGATTGTTCTACAACAGACCTCCAGAGGTAGCCATGCATTTACCTACCCACCCCAACATAGATAAATAAATGAATAAAAATGTAAAAGCAAAAAGTTACAGAAAATATAGTTGAATGTCTCAACAACTGACTAGAATAAAGAATTTCTGACCTTGAAGCAGATCATTTGAAATAACCCAGCTACAGTAAAAGAAAAGAAGTGATTTGTGGGACAAGAAAGGAAGGAATGAAGGAGAGATGGAGGGAGGGAATGAAGAAAAATAGGAAGGGAGGGGAGGGGAGGAAAGGGAAAGGAGGGAAGGTGAGGGGAAGGAAGGGAAGGGAATAGGAGGGGAGGGGAGGGAGAGGAAGGGGAGGGGAGGGAAGGGGAGG